TTTAAATTTTAACCTGTACCGTAATAATGCGAGTCGTACATCGGGGGTCATCGCAAGGTCGTGCAATGATTTGAATACAAAAAAATAAAAGTTAGCAGTTAGTAGCGTTAGAAATAAAGAAAAATAAAATAAAAGTCATCGATTAGAAGTTAAAAGTTCAAAATTTAACCCAGACTGTAATAATGAGGATCGTACCTGGGACGGGTTACCACGAGATCGTACGATTGATTCGAATATAAAAATTAAAAGTTAATGGTTAGTAGTTAGAGCTAGAAAGCCAGTAGACAAAATAATAAAAAGGTCTGAATAATAATAATATGGGTCCTATTTCGGATCGGGTCACCACAAGATCGAGTATTAGTTGGAAACGATAATATAAAGTTAGTGGTTAAAAGAATAAAATAGAATAAAAAACATAACCATATATAAAATGAAGGAATGAAGTAGCATATCAACATCGAATATAAAAATAAAACATACATGTAGTATAAAATGCAATAAAGTCCAACAAGCAGTGAACAAAATATAATAAACACAAAAATGGTGCATCAAACTTGAAATAGATAAAAGAGGAGGATGGTGACGAAATGCAAAAAAAAAAAAAAACTTAAAATAGGGGGACTATTACGTGAAAAAACCTAAGAGAAATAACCACTTTCTAAAAAGGCACCTAAAGTCTAGGGGTTTATGCGTGATTTGACCCTAGACTTCTCATTCTAGACCACTAGTGAAAACTAAAATGGAAAATAGAAGAGTGAGGACCTCCAACTTTGTAAAATAAAAAAGCATGGGATTGGTGACCAAAACGTAAATATACGGGTAAAGTGCAGGGGCTTGAACGAGGTTAACCCCTTAACTTTGGTATATATTCCAAGCTTTTGCTATTTTGGGTTGAACTTAACCCTAAGCACAAATATGCTGTCGCCCCCGACTAGATGCAAGTGGCCAAAAACTTCTCATTTCTCTTCTCTAACCCTTAAAACTGAGACCCTAACACATTTTGACGAAACCAATTTTTTGAACACCCAAATCGACGATCCCTTTTGTTTTCCATCACAATGAGTCCCCTTTGACGGCCATGAGATAAGACCGGAGAAGACCCGATGATACTCACATGTCCTCGGGTAAACTAAATCGACCCCTAACTTTAAGTTTTGTTTTGTTTGCAAAACCATTGAAAAGGCTATTGTAGGTTGCAAAAATGTGAAAAACAATACTTCTGAAAATGACTATGGGTTCATGTTGCTTGCTTTTGATTTTCTTGAATTTACTCTGCGTTTCCTTTTTGATTCGAAATGGAAGAGTAGATGGAAAATGGGAAATAACTTAGAAAAAATGTTTTGGTCTTGGCATTAAGATGGGATCAAATGTTGAGTGACCAAAAGAGTAATTAAACCATTTTTATTTTAAAAGGTTGAAAACGCATTAATATTGACGATTTCACGTCTGAAGCATTCTCATCTCTTTTTCTTCACAATCTTTGTCTTCTTCTCATCTGCTTCAACTCTTTCCTTCTCTTTTTGAAAGAATAAAGGTGAGCACTTGTTAACCAGTAATCCCAGTTTGTTTCAGTGAAGGTAAGGATAAAAATCGGCGTTCTTAGAGCTTCAAATCGAACCTTCAATCATTGTATTTCTTCATGGTTCCTAAAATGTGGGTTTAGTGGTGTTTTTATAAATCCATAGCAAACTAGCCTATTTTTGAAAGAATTAAGCTGTAAGAGATGTTCTAAATTCCTTCTTAAACTTCTCAACAACATTAGTAATCTATATGTTGATTTTTTACTTAGTGAGAGAAATTGGAGAAAGCTCCAAGAGCAAGGGTAAGGAAAATGTTACCTTGAGTTGAGCCTTGGACACTTCCAACAGCTTAGAAATCAAATGTTACACACTTCTAACTCAACTGTACCACATGTAGATCATTAGATAAGTTTTGGTAGGTTGCATGAGTTATGAAGCATGTTCATGGTAATTTGCATATTTTGATGTTTGCAGAATGTTAAAAACCTATTATGATCCCCTTTAACACTCATAAGATTTTAATAACAATTGGGACCCTCAGTAGGGCATTTGGGTAGGAAAGTTAACTTTTTTTGTACTCAAAATAATGTAATTATGGGTACAAGTATCGGTACTAGAAGAACATTATTGATATTGTTCTTCAAGTGTTAAAAACAAAGGGACTTTGAGACAAAAGTATCGATACTTTTTAATGAGTATCGATATGTATCGATATTCGCAAGGTGGTATCGATACCGAGTTCACTTAGTAGATTATAGTAGGCAATTTTGGTACTGATACTGATAGGAGTATCGATACCAATATCGATACCCTCAGTAGGGATATCGATATTGAGATATTTTTCAAAACATCGAACTTAATTTTGGTATCAATACTCATACCAGTATCAATACCCTATCACTAGAGTATCGATACTCAACAAGGAATATCAATATTATTTCCTCTTATTAGCATAACTTAGTCAGTCAGTATCGATACCAAGAGGTGGGCATCGATACTCAAGGGTTAGTATCGATATTGAAGGGCCAATATCGGTACCAGGGGATAGTTTTTGATACATAATCAAATGATTTAAAGATTAGATTTGAGAGACCCAATAACATTAGAATATCAACAGATAAAACTACAAGTGAGAACAAAAACAAACTAATGACAGTTAGAAATAGTAATGGCTAGGATAATATAAAACTATCCTTGTTTGACACTCAGGAAATAGCCAGGACACCCGATTTCCTTTTGCAGAATACGACAACTAGTTGGATATCCCAGTCAGTGCAAAGGCACTTCAGTAGCCGACTGGGCGCAGATACCCCAAGACTCGAAGAAGTAAGTTGGTCAGGTGTATGTTTCCCATGTAGCTCCGGATCTCACCCCAAATACCTGAGGGTATCTTAGAAAGGATAGAAGGGTGTGTGAGCTCCAAGATGCAGAACTCTTAGCCGCACCATGATGTCTATTTCAACAGTACTTATCAATATTTTACTTGTATTCATACTTGTGCTGCTAGCCAACTCATTTAGTGAATACATGTAGTATAGTACAATTATTAGTCTGGCACTGAGCTCATAAGCTCAATGTTCAAAATATGTTTTTGTGCGCAAGTTCATAAGAGACTAGCCGATAAACATTATCGTCATCAGCAGTTCTAGCTCAACAGAGATTCAGAGTACGTCTTGATCTTGTTTAGAGGGTATGTACTATTGTAGACCCTATTTATGTTAGATATAACTTTATTTTGATTTTAAACTCAGTATTGTATTATTTTGAATATTTTAGGAGTTTCCCTGTACTTGAAAACCCAATTTTTTATGTTTTTAATTTATTATTATAGATGGATTTTACATAACACAGTTCACATGTCATTTTAAAAGAAAATTTTTTGGGTTATCCACTTTGGTGGTCCCGTGTGACACCATGATGCTGTGATCTTTGAGTCTGAATGGATTAGGGTGTTACAGGACCATCATTGCTGTCGGAGGTTTTGAGAGGGCTTGCACCTGGACATCTTGTCACACCCTGTAGTTGACACTCCCAAGGTATTTTTTGAGTTGTCTCGCCAAGTGAAAGCGCGAGAGAGTCTTGAGTAATAGAGCCAGACAATCCAGTAAGACCGTGGGATAGACTAAGAGATTCATCGTGCTAACAAGGTCATCACAAACTCCAGTCAAGAGGGCCAAAGATAGTTAGGATTCGTGAAGACCCCCAGTAGTGCAATCGAAGAGAGTTTGGACAGAGTTTGGATAGAGGGGGTAAATTTGAGTCTAGGAGAAGGCCCCTGATGTTAGTCTCCGAAGTGAGTTTTAGTGACTTGACGAGAGTCTTCACTCATCCTATATGTGCTCAATGTGGTATGTCAGTAAGGATCGAGGGGTTGCTTCAGTTGTGACTCCTTAGACCATTTTATAAGAGACTGTTTGGGGGCTCAAAGAGTGATCCTGACATCGATTCAGAGGTCAGTTCCATCTGTTCAGAGAGGCATAGGGTTAGTGAGGGGTAGTAGTGTTGCATCTAGGTAGCATAGTAGCGGGACAACCAGATCAATGGTCGATGCAGAGCCGAGGGTGACCTTCAGACAATATATAGTGAGAGTCTGAGAGGAATATGATGCAGAAGACGTGATATCTGGTACATTCGCAGTATTTTCCTTTGCAGTTACTACATTGATAGATCTCGGTTCTACACACTCCTACATATGCTTTGATCTAGCTCAAGAAATAGAAATTTCAGCTGAAGTCTTAGAGGTAAGAGTTCAAGTATGAGTCCTCTAGGTTTAGAGTCCTAGTAGACAAGATTCACTGGCGATGCCCAGTAGAAATTCAAGGTCAGACCTTCCTAGCAAACTTGATAGAGTTACCCTTTCGAAAGTTTATCATGATTTTGGGCATGGATTGGTTGTCTGAGCATGACGCCAGTTTAAAGTGTAAAGCCAAGCAACTTAAGCTCAAAGAGGATGATGGTACGAAATTGGTAATAACTAGCGAGAAGTCGGGACAGTCAATGATCGTGTCAGCAATAAAAGCTCAACGGATGATCGACCAGGGGTGTAAGACCTTCTTTGCTCATTTGGTCGATACCCAAATTTTAGTTCCAACACTCGAGGATATCTGGGTAGTGCGAGATTCCTAGATGTGTTCCTAGAAGAGTTATTGGGTTTACCGGTCAACCATGAATTAGAGTTTAGCATCGAAGTAATGTCATGTTCAATGCTACTTTATCCATGTTTAGTGTCCAAAACGACATCATTTTATGCATCAATAATTGCAATAAAACAATGGTACTTTGTCCATATCATCATGCCGTTGGATTCTTACAATCTAGTGGTATAATTGAAGTCAAAACCAGAGATTAGTGCTATAATTGGAGTAATTAAAAGTTTAGTGGTATGAACGAAACATCTACTAAAGTTGAATGGTATCCGATATAGTTTACCCTATAAATAAAAAGACAAACAAAGGGTGTTGTGCTGTCCGAAGGCGTACTTCTTTTGAATTTTTGCCGTGTGCTGCAATTATTTTCTGAGCTATGTCCTCACCAGCAATTTCCTTAATTTCAAGCTCAACATCTCTGAGACTCAGCCATGTCTTCCCAGCAAAGAGAAATGCAATTCTATACAACGCCATGTCCTGCTGCAGAGTCTGTCCTTTGAAGCCACCGTCTCTTAACAGAATCTTCATCAGAACTCATATGGGTCCTTTAAGAAAGCCTCCTTTTTCACTTCCTCCAGACCCTTTTCTCCAGTTATGGAATGGCAGGATTGCACGTAAGTTTCCCAACCTTCCCTTTTGGTCTTCTTTCTATTGACTACAATTTACTCGTTGATCCAAAATTGTAAGTGTAAAAATGGGTTCAGGGCAAGGATTGAAGTTGATGTGCCTGCTTCCGTGGCTTATAATTGTTACTCTGATCGAGAAGCAATTCCCAATTGGATGCCATTCATTCCATCTGTCAAGGTCTGTATGTGTTGCTAATGTGTTATAAAGGGTCATTCTCAAAGTGTTGTAAATGTACGGCCGGCGGAGATAATTTCAGTTGAGAGTTTGATTCTTTGGTTTTTCTGATCAGGTTTTGGAAGACCAGCCTTGTCTCGGTGGTCTTTGAAGTATAACGCATTTGACAGTAATCTTTATTACTCTTGGCTTGCTAGGAATGTGCAAGTAATGAAGATGATATTAGCTCTCGTTTCCTTGGCCCTTTTTATATATATATATAAAAATATCTTTTGGAATTGATAATTATTTTTCTTGTGCAGCCTATTTCGAATCAGAAAATTCACTGGAGATCTCTGGAAGGACTTCCGAACAGGCAAGCCAAAAACAACTTAGTATTAGGAATTGCATTGACTTGTTGAATCAAACATATTCGCATAACCCGACTTTGCATTCTTCCTTTATGCCAATTTATCATTTTCTTTATGATGAAGCTCTATGAACTAACCATGGAATCTCTCGCATTGCAAAACAATTTATTCCTTTGTTATGATGGAAATGACACAATGAAAGCAAGAAAGATGATAAGTACCTGCAGCCCACAAAGTAAATAATATTCGGAATCGTAAATTGACACCTTCTAGATGAGTCATAAGATTATAATACTAGAGCATATCCTTTTCAGTTTCCACCTGTTTTCTTTCAAGTATGCACTGAAACACAACTAATCAAAACAAATGAAAATGGCTGTCACCAAAGCTCTTTTGTCCACTTAAGCTTTGCCACTTGCGGATTGTCTTATAACATTAACTGAGAACCTTTTTTTATGGTTTTGTACTTGTACTCATGGAGTGTTGTTTGTGCTTGACCCTAAAGTACTTTTTATTTTTCCCCGATAAGGTGGTCTGTTTTCATTTATCCAAGTAAGCAGAGATCTGCTACAGTTGTACAATCACTTCAAGAACTATTACAAACGATCAACTCCCTATACATTTTGTCTAATACTCTGTTATACAAAGTTGATTGTTGACTATATCATTCATGTTAATTTAGTATCAGGCGATCTTACACTAACAATTTCCTTAATCATTCCCAAATAGCTCCTACTCAGTTCTTTTCCGTCCTCTAAACTGCCTATTATTCCTTTCTCTCCATATCCAGTACACATGAGCAATTCCAGGCCAACCTTAGAATAATTGTAATGACTGATGAGAGCTTTCCCCTTTTTCATTTTGCAATCATCCAATTTCCTGCTGGCTAGAGAAAGGCTGCCTTTGCAAATATCATAGTTGCAGCACCTCCTTCGATACACATCTAGAATATCGACACTCAACAAATAAATCATCATTTTTATCCTCTTCATCTGGCATATTGAACATCTGGCAAAATGAAATGAGTTGCCCGATAATTTTCATACAATGTTGAAGTTCCTTTTGCTTCATTTCTTGTACTGAAAAATTAGATAATTTATTTAATTCTACTTTGTTGCATTCCTTTAAATAGAACTTCCTTTTTATCTTTTGCATCGGCTTGTTTATAGAATGTTAACAAGCTGGATTTTACATGTCAGGGGTGCTGTTCGATTTTATCCTAAAGGACCTTTATCATGTCTAATAGAAGTGAGAATCTCTATACAATACTCGGCATTGATGCTTTACTGATTTATTGCTATTGCTTCCTCAAAAGTGGTGAACTGCATTACATCAACCTTTCTTCCTTATACCAGCAGTTACATCAAACTGAATTACAGTACTTTGCGTCGATGCCTTACTGATTTATCCCCACAGTGTAGAGTGCTAATGAGATTTTATTGGCTATTACTTCAAATTGTGCTCACTGGTTGCAATTTTCCTTTCCAGCTGACGGTTTCTTATGAAGTCCCACAGCTTTTGACTCCAGTGGCATCTGTAAGTATTCTCGGCATGAAAAAACATAAAATTTCTTACCTTGGGGAAAAAATAAAAGTTACCGCTAATGTTTAACTTGGTGTATAGCAAATCATTTAGTTTTTATAATTGAAACCTGGAGCTAACATGAAGTAATCAATCTTCTACTCTGTTAAATTACACAGGTACTTCAACCATTTCTTGAAAATTTACTCAAAAGTGGTTTGGATCGGTTTGCAGAATATGCTAAAAGCTCAGGTTCAACACGATAATCGCCTCACTTATTTTCTTCATCTTTAAGGTGCATTGAAAGGTTTTGGTTCAAAACATTAATTTGTATTCTTAAGCTAACATTGTTCAGAGCTAACATTCTGGAGCTGCATATGAAAGAGTGGGTTGGTTATATGTTGCACTTGAATCATAACTGCTTATGAAAATTATGTGCAATTTAACCAGGGGTTGTTCATATTTTTAACTTAAAGCTTCAAGTTTTTTAAAATTTTGTTTCTGTTGTCTTACCCCCAAAAAATAACGTGTTTAGTTAAATGATTTTATTCATCAATAATTGAATATCTATTCGTATAAGAAAATTGAAAATAATGTTGTTAGGATGGTAAAACCCTACAAACAAATGACCATTTCAGGATTGAACTTTGGTTGTATGTCTTAGGAGGAAGTCCAATGCTATTTCTTCTAATCATTTGTTAATATGTATTAACATATTTATTGTTTCTTCCATCGACGAATGAGATTCTACAAAACCAACAACAAAAGACTTGTGTCAATTTACCGCACAACCTTCTATTAACGGACGACATATGAACGAGTTACAATGAGGTGAGTTGTTAATATTTGCGACGACAGGTGGCTCTCGACGACTATAGGCAACTAGAGGAGAAAAAGATTTTGAGATTATGTCAAACAATGATTATGTGATTTTTTTTAACGAATGATAATTATTTACTTTAAAATAACAACGGAACAAAATATTAAACATCTAAATTTAAACACAAAATATTAACATTTAAGGAGAGGCTTGAATTTGCCAAGGTGTGTGTGGAGATTGAAGCTGGAGGTGTTATTCCTTATATGATCCATGTAGTTCTAAAAGATGGGTCCTCTATGAGAATTAGGGTGCTTGTGCCTTGGTTACCAAAATGTTGTGTTAAATGCAAAGCTTTTGGACATCATGTTAACTCGTGTGTAGAGGCTAGGCAGACTACACTGAAATCTAAAGAGGTCCAAGTCCGGAGGAAGAAGTATGCTCATAATACTATTGAATCTGGTAGCAAGGAAAGATTGCATGTGAATGTTACTGCTTCTAAGGAGATGTCTGTGAATGTTACTGCTTCTAAGGAGGTGATTAATTGCTCAGATTTCCTTTTTGGCAGTGATAACATTACAAATAGTGAGGTGATGAATTCGGGGTTGCAAGTTGGTACTTCTGTGGAGACAATTGTGCAAGCTTTGCAAGAGGACAATGAGGTTAATGAGGAAGTAGCCATGAAGAATGCTGTTAATTATTTACAGAATTTCACTACTGATATGATTATTACTACTGAGGCACAGAAGGAGGTAAACTCTAGTGGGTATGGAAAGGATCATGTTGCTGAGGTAGTTGGTATTAATACTCTACAAGAGGATGTCAAATCTGGGGATTTTCCTTTTCTTCAAGATTTTATGAAGAAGAAGATTAGGGGAATGAAAAAGGATGTTGTTGGCTCCTCAAGTAAGATAAAAGTTGTGGTTGGTGGTCCTAGAAAGGCTTGAGTAGCCTCTATGGGAGTGACTATGTTGCTTAATGAGATCAAGGCTAAAAAGAAGGATCATATTGAGAAAGCTAAATGTAATGTGATGAATTTGGGCACTAGCAGTGGTGCTCCTTCTATCTCCTTTTGATGATTGTTAGCTTTTGGAATGTTAGGGGAATCAACAATCCCCTTAAGCAGATGAAGGTGTTAAGGAGATTAGAATCTTGTGGTTTGGATGTCATCTGTCTTATGGAGTCTCGTATTAGAAGAGACAATTCTGCCAGTTTTTCTTATGCTTTGTCTAGTGACTGGAACTTTGCTAAAAATTATGATTTTGTAGAATGGGGGCGTTTGTGGATTTTATGGAAGAATCAACTGGTGCTTACTGTTTTAAGGAGATGTGATCAAGCTATTTCTATTATTGGTGTTATTGATGGGCATAGGACTAGAATCACGATTATCTATGGAAGTAATAATGGTGTGTCTAAAAGAGTACTTTGGGATCACTTAAGGATTGTAGAGAATGATTTTGGATCTTTCTCCTGGGTGATTGGAGGGGATTTCGATATCATTGCTAGAGTTGATGAAAGCTCTGACTTTGATGTTATGGGGGTGCATAGTACCTCTGACATGAAGGAGTTACAAAAATGTTTGGAGGACCTAGATCTTATGGATCACCCATTTCTTGGGCCTCTATTTACTTGGTCAAACAGACAGGAATACTCATATTTGGTTCACAAGTTGGACAGGGTCTTAATTAATTTTCAGTGGCTACTGGATTTCCCTGAGTCTTTTGTTGAATTCAAGGCCCAAGGAGTCTCTGATCACTGCCTTGGATAATTGTGGACACAAAAAGGTGCTATGACTAAAAAACCTAGGCCTTTTAAGTTTTTCAATTGTTGGACTACCTATGAAAAGTTCTTGAGCACTATTAAGGAATCTTGGCAAGGTCACTGTGAAGGTTCTGCCATGCAATGCCTGTTTAGTAAGTTGATGAGGCTTAAGCCTTTTCTAAAAGAGCTTAATAAGGTGTATTTTTCTGATATTTCTGGCAGAGTGAGTAATAAAAGGGCTGAGCTGGAGCAAATCCAAATTTTTAATCTGACTCATGTTGATCAGAGGAGGATAGATGATGAGAGGAGGATCCATGCTGAGTTAATGGACCTGAAAGTTGTTGAATCTAGGTTTTACAGACAGAAGGCTAAGATTCATTGGTTAAGGGAGGGGGACTTGAATACTAGATTCTTCCATCAGAGGGTTGAGTCTAATAAGAAGAGAAACACCATAAGAGTTATTAAAGGTGAAGATGGACAGTGCTATGATTCATTTGAAGGCATGGCTGCTGAGTTAGTGATTTTTTTCACTAACCTTATTGGTTCTGCTGATCCTCCAGTTAAAGGAAGCTCTGTAGAGAGTTTGAAAGGCTTGCTGAATTATTCCTTGCCTGAAGGAGCGTGTGCTTTTCTCACTAAAGAGGTGAATGATATTGAGATCAATGAGGCTCTGTTTAGACAATGGAAGGATAAAAGTCCAGGCCCTGATGATTATACTTATGGATTCTTCAAGGCTGCATGGGATATAGTTGGAATTGACTTTGTATCTGCTGTGAGGTATTTCTTTCAATCCTCTTGCTTACTGCCTGCTTTCAATGCTACAGTCTTTGTTTTGGTCCCTAAGTCTTTAAATGCATGTTTGCCAAAGGAATTTAGACATATTTCTTTCTGTTCAGTGGCATATAAAACCATTACAAGAATCCTTGTTAATAGACTAGTTCCTTTCTTCCTTGGCATGATCTCTCATAGTCAGTCAGCTTTTGTCAAGGGTAGGAATATAGTTGACAATACTTTGCTAGCTCAAGAGGTTGTTAAAGGCTACTCTAGGAAGAGTCTCTCACCTAGATATGCAATTAAAATAGACTTGCAAAAGGCTTTTGATTCTAACTGGAACTTCTTGTTGATTGTTCTTGAGGCAATAGGCCTCCTTGGTGAATTTTGTAATTGGATTAAGGCTTGTATTACTACTCTCATGTACTCAGTCTCTTTGAATGGTAGCTTGGCGGGGTATTTTAAGGGAGATAGAGGGATTAGGCAAACAAACCCTTTTTCTCCTTACCTATTTGTCATTGTTATGAATGTCATGTCTTCCCTTTTGGATGTTGTTGCAAAATAGGGAATTTTTAAATTTCACCCCAAGTGTAAGAGAATCTCTCTCACTCACCTTTGTTTTGCGGATGACTTGTTAGTATTTTTTCATGGTTCTCTTGATGTTGTGCTGGGAGTTCAAAGCACCATAGAGAAGTTTTATGAGCTGTCTAGTCTTATGTTGAATGCTCTAAAGACAGAATATTTTGCTTGTGATTTGAATGAGCATGTTCTTGAACAGATTCGATTGGCAACTGGGTTTAGGATGGGACAGCTCCCTGTTAGGTATCTTGGGGTGCCTCTAGTGACTCGAAAACTCACAGGGAAAGATTGTGCACCTTTGTTGGTGAGGATTAAAGACAAACTCAACCAATGGTCTAGCAAGAAGTTGAGTTTTGGGGGAAAGTTGCAGCTTGTTAAAACTGTTTTGTTTAGCATTTGTAACTATTGGAGTAGGCAACTCATTCTTCCTAAGGGGATCATTAGGGACATAGAGAGGCTTTGCATGCGTTTTTTCTGGAAGGGCAGTGACACCTTAGCTAGAGGAGCTCGTGTGGGCTGGAACCAAATTTGCTCCTTAAAATCTGAGGGTGGTATGGGGCTTAGGGACCTTGTTGTATGGAGTAGAGCCTGTTGTCTGCTGCTAGTCAAGAATATTTTGGCACACGAGGGTTTACTTTGGATTGCCTAGGTTAAAGAGTATTGCTTTAAAACAGCGAGTTATTGGGAGGTAGAATGTAAAGCCTACTTCAGCTGGATCTTAAGCAAGCTACTGAGAATACGAGAGGAGGCTAGGAGAATGTTCTATCCTTGTGCTAATTGGAATCAAATCAAAGAAAAATGGATATGGGATAATATTCGAGTCAGAAGGGAGAAGGTAAACTGACATAGGCTTATTTGGTTTCCTGCTCATATCCCTAAGTTCTCTTTAATCTCGTGGATGGCCATCCTTGATAGGTTGCCTACCAAAGATAGGTTTGTTCGGTTTGGTTTGGTTATTGATAATGTTTGTGTGGTGTGTGGCTCTGGTATGGAATCTCAAGATCACCTCTTTGCTAAATGCTCCTATGCAAAGGAAGTGCGGGGTGCTGTTTTAATATCTTGTGGACTCCGATATGAGTCATATAGCTGGGATGAACGTTTTAGTTGGTTGATTGAGAACTTGAAGGGAAAATCTCTCAGAGTGCGTATCCTTAAGCTTGCTTGGACTGGTTTTCTGTATTTTATTCGGGAAGAGCGCAATCATAGACATTTCAGGGGTTTGACTCGTTCAGTCGATGTAACTGTAAATAGGATAAAGGAGGCTGTAAAAATTAAATTGTATAGACACTGCATGTATATGCTTGATGATGTAAATAGGCATTTGTGCATAAATTGGGGTCTGAACTAGTGATGAGGGTTTGTTATGTTTTGTAGCAGTTAGTCTGCATTCTTTTGGATGAATATAAATTACTTATCCAAAAAAAATATTAACATTTATTTTGTAAACCATATTCTTTGCATCATCATTAACAACCTATCACCATCCTATTGGGAACGCACAAACTTAACCAATAGTTTAGTTTTATCTTAATCATGTATATGCAGCCGTCGCTTAACAAAAAATTGCGGCGCCCATATGCACTACAACACAAAAGTATAAAGGCATTAAGGTACTTTAAACACCGAGTGGAGGTACCTCTCTCGCCTCAAACTAGTGCACCACCGCCCCAATCAACCAACGCTTCCACCCTCACTGTTTTTGCTGCAAAAAACAATTCTTTCCTATTCAAAATCATGCTTTCTTGCATGCCTTGTGCTCACGTCATAGCCGACCACCACTGTCTAAAACGTCAACTACCCTACAGCAATCAATGTGTTATCGGAACCATCATTGGTTGTTACTGAAAGAAGCAACCGAAAAAACTGCCTTCCATGGTCGCAGCAAAAATGGCTTTATCATTCAATACATTTCTCGTCTATGAAAAAAGAAGAAGATGAGATTCCTCTTCGGATGTTCCTCATATTATGTTGCATTAAAAAGGGTCCACTGCATGTATATTAACTCAAGGTTGCTTGCGGCCAATGACAAAGTTATGGGACGAACAAGGGGCCTTTTTTTTTTCCAGAACTGCCATATGCAGACTCCACCTTCACTAAAGAAAAGCCAATTCCTATATGGAATTGGTCGGTTCCCGCCTCCAAAAACTACATTAAAATAATCTATAGTTGCAGATGTTTTTGATAATCCTTCCCACCATCTGTTTTTTGTAATATACTTTCATATAGTATATATATATGTAGACTTGCAGGTTCATCATGCACTCCAAATCGAACAAACCTAGTGTTCACTTAATCGAAGGAAGTCGCTTGCTTCCTTCTCTACTGATCTGTCCTCGTTGTTGGAACTAATTTTAGCTTAAAAATGGAGCATTTTCGTGTATCGTTATTTACATTTTGCATGTCTTTTGTCTGTTTCTTCCTTTCCACCCAAGGGAGATGGCATCATCACCATACTAAACAGAAACATCATACTCCCCATCACAAAACATCTGAAATTTCAGCAGCTCCTTTTCCAGCACCCGAGCCCTCTAGTCCTCTTGCACCGGAGCCTTTGAGTCCTTTTACACCCGAGCATTCCGGTCCATCTAGCGATGGAAATGCCGATAATTCTACGGGTGCTTTCAATGTAAGAAACTTTGGAGCTGTGGGGGATGGTGTAACAGATGACACAAAAGCATTCAAGATGGCATGGGACTCTGCTTGTCAATTTAATTCTTCAGTCCTTCATGTCCCTTCTGGTTTTTCCTTTGTGATTCAGTCCACAATTTTTACTGGTCCTTGTCAAGGTGGGCTGGTCTTTCAGGTTGATGGTACACTTATGCCTCCCGATGGACCCGATGTCTGGCTGGAGAATAACAGCAAGCGCCAGTGGCTCGTCTTTTACAGAATTGACGGTCTGTCCCTGCAAGGAAGTGGTCTCATTGATGGTAGAGGGCAAAAATGGTGGGATCTTCCTTGTAAGCCCCACAAGGGCATAAACAGAACAACATTGCCAGGACCATGTGACAGCCCAATTGTATGTTGACTGACTTCATTTAATTTTATTTCCCCAATATAATACGAAGAAATTTGTATCATTTTAAACTTGATAATGCAGGCTATAAGGTTTTTCATGAGCTCCAACTTGACTGTGCAAGGACTTACAGTTAAGGATAGTCCCCAGTTCCACTTCAGATTCGATGGTTGCAGGAATGTCCATGTTGAATCCCTTCACATAACTGCTCCAGCTCTGAGTCCCAATACTGATGGGATCCATATAGAGAACACGAACGGTGTCGAAATATATAACTCGGTTATCTCTAATGGTTAGCCCGAAATCCCATGAATCTTTCTGAAATTTCGATTCCATTTCGTTATACTTAATCTTAATGATCTTGCTTCACAGGTGATGATTGTGTATCTATTGGATCAGGATGCTATGATGTTGATATTAAGAACCTAACTTGCGGACCTGGTCATGGAATCAGGTAATCCCAAATGTTTTTATTGAACTGTACTAACCTTTTGATTTTGTTTTTGTCAAGCTTATTCTTATTGAATATGTTCCCTCTGTTATTCCCCTCAGCATTGGAAGCCTAGGTAATCATAATTCACGAGCCTGCGTCTCCAACATCACGGTTCGAGACTCGGTGATCAAGGCATCGGATAATGGTGTTAGGATCAAGACATGGCAAGGTGGATCTGGAGCTGTATCGGGCATAACATTCATCAACATTCACATGGAAAATGTTAGGAATCCGATAATAATCGATCAATTCTACTGCCTCGTAAAGGGCTGCACGAACCTAACGTCAGCGGTTTACGTCTCAGACATACTCTACGAAAGCATCAAGGGAACGTACGACATCCGAAGCCCTCCGATGCATTTTGCCTGCAGTGATTCGGTTCCATGCACAAACATCACACTCTCCGATATCGAGCTTCTTCCGGCGAAAGGAGATATGGTCTTGGACCCATTTTGTTGGAACGTTTACGGGGACATGGAGACCCTAACGATCCCGCCAGTCTCCTGCTTAATGGAGGGTATTCCTCGAACCATCTTGGATAATAAGGATATGGGTTATTGCGGATGATTTAGAATGTTAAAACCTTATCTTTTTTTTTATATATAAATCATCAGCAATACATACATTCATATAATAAGGCCATTAATGAGGCATGGAAGTCACAAACAAAGGATTTAGTTCAAGATTCTCTACACATTCATGGTGTATCTTAAAACCAACAAAAGCTCTTGTAAACAAACGAATCCAACTGCAAAAGTTAGGACGACAAGAAGTCTAAAGCAGAAACACATCATATAATTAGAGAATAATTCTGGGAATTTGAAGGCATGAAGTAAATTTGTCATCGAGTTGCTAAAGCAGATTTCTTTTGGTTGATTTATGGGAGCACTGAATTTAATAATAAATATTGTCTATCACGAAGCACGCGCAGCATTTATATAGATACAATAATCGTGTCTATCTATCATCGTGAATGTAGACTTAAGTGCTCTGGAAAAGTACAACAAATTGTCAATGCTTCCAGCTTTTCTTCTTTGCCCCATACCTTACCGTTCCTTTTGTAAACACAAAGCTTCAATAGGTTATGAGAGTTGCTTCAATGCTCGCACCCATTCTTCATCCAATCCAATTCGATGCTTCACAAACAAAAGATCAAATAAATACAAACTGTTCAATAGATTATGTGAGTTGCTTCATTTTTTATGGGTGGGTGTTTATGATCACTTTCATGTGAATTGACTGGAAAAGGAAGCGCTCAGCCTCATGTAATGCTGGTGTAAAAGATATATATTTAGGGTAAATTACATGTACACTCACTGAACTTTACTCTATCTCTTATTTCACTCATGTACTTTCAATTTTTTCAATTTACTCATAAACTTTATACATTGAACATTTTTTGTCACTCTTCATTAATATTGTAACAGCGTTATGACGTGGAATTATTTAAATGATTTTCAAGAGTTTAAAAATACTTAAATTAACATGTGGGAAAATAAATAAAATCCTTTAACTACAAACGACTATTCATTTAACCCTAAATTACCTAAAGCACGAGTATTTTTCCACTTCATCCCAAATTTCTCCCAAATCATTTACCCTGATATGATTTAAGGGGTTTAATCTTCGCACAACTTGAGAGATTTAAGGTTTAGATGATTGGTTTGCTAAATTCAGTTGAGGGTTTTTTGCGTTTTCTGTGTGGTTTCGATATCAGAATCATGGAAAATCTCGTGTTACATTCTAGGCATGTTGCTGGCATGACATACGGTGAGTTGTTTGAACTTCTTTCTATTTAAATGTTTCGATTGTGACCCACAAGTAGGATTTTAATTTTCTTCAAAAAAATTAGGGTTTTTTTGTTATTCTTTTCGAGGGTTTTAAATTATTTTGTTAATATATATGAAATTGTGGTTTTAAATTAGGTTTAAGATTCATGTTGGTTGGTTGTGGCTATTGATGTTAGTATATATGTGTGTTGCTTTACTATGATTCAAAATTTACATTTATTGTATATATGTATAATGATAAAAATGTGTTGAAGATTATAAGTTTGGTGGATAGTATGTGTTGATTATTGGTAGTGAGGACCACATAAGCACAGTTTTATTAGGACCACGTTATGTTGACACTAGTTTAATGTCTTTTTATTGGATAAAGTGAATAAGGACCACAGAGATTAAAAACAACATCTAAAAACATGTGCTTATTTATATTTTAATTAGTATATTGCGTTGGGTCCATGGGAATGAGTCTATATCTATTTATTTATATTATATTAATGTATTTTTTGTTTGTCATAGGCACATCTTTAGAGTACTGCACAACAATGGTTCACAATGGTGGGTATGTTGTTAATAGTAATCACTCCATAGTAGAATATATTGGTAAAAATGTTTCTTTCTTTGATATGTGTGAGATTGAGTCTATGTCTATGTTTGTTATCTTTGATATGATTAAGGAGTTAAGATATGTCAATCCATATAAAATTATTGGCAAAAAGCAAGGGGTGCATGAACTTTAAATACACTAAAAACGGATGTTGATGTGTTAAGTATGGTAAGTAAAATGCCTAGGAATAAATATGTTCATGTTTACATTGAAGAAGTTAATGATGTTCAACATAATCCCGAAACTGAAAGAAATGGTGAGAATGACTTTATTGATGGTGAAACTATTAGAAATGATGATGAACATTCAAAATATATGGTTTATGGGAGTGAAAGTGATGAAAGTTTGTTTGAGGATAGTGAGAATGACTTGGGTGATGGTGAGGATGAAATGTGTGATGTGTGTGGGAGTTGATAGGGATATCCTTGGATTTACAGTAGGCACTAAAAGTAAGGGAACAAATAATGAAGAAGACTGTAAGGGTTCAGAGTTATTACACAATGCAATTTACTTTGAAACAGTAGATCATAGGAGAAGGTGCCATGAGTTCAAATAGTGAGGTTGACTTAGAAAATCCCTAATTTAAGAAAGGAATGTTATTTACTAACCAAAAAATCATTAAAGTAGTAATGAAACAATATAAAGTGATAAATAGGTACAATGTGAGGCTTAAGCTAAATGATTCTAAAAGACTCTCGGTTGTGTATAAAAATGATTTCCCGTGGATGATTTGGGCATTAAGAGTGAATCCCAAATATGAAAGCGACACAACTTGGCAAATTAAGACATATGTTGGAGAGCATACATGTATTAGAGAAATTAAGAACAATAATTATACTTATAAGTGGTTACTAGATAATACCTTAATAAATTTAAGGTTGACCCAAACTACTCCATTAGTTTCCTCAGATAGGATGTGAGAAATGATCACATCCTTAATGTACCACTATCAAAATGCAATAGAGCAAAACAAGCAGTTTTGAAGATAATCCATGGGAATCAAGATGAACAATATATAAAGATGTATGATTACCTTGATGCAAGGATGGCTTCAAAGCAGGATGCATGCCAATCAATAGCCTCGATGGTTGTTTTCTTAAGGGTTATTATCAAGGTTATCTATTGATAGAAGTTGGGGTTGATGCAAATGATTGCATCTATCCCTTAGCTTATGTTGCGGTTGAGAGTAAAAACCATTCCTCTTGGACTTGGTTTTACCAACTTATTGGAGCAGACTTGGAGCTTACAAACTCTCATCACTATACATTCGTATCAAACAAGCAAAAGGTAAAATATTTATTTTTTCTACTAATTTCAAATTTTTGTATGTTATTTTGTATTAATTAATTGGTACTTAGAGGCAATTGTAGAACTGTTTCCTGATGGAAAGCATAGACCATGTGTGAGGCATCTATATTCCAACTTTAAGTCCAATAGAAGCAACCAAGGAAATGCATTAAAAGATCAACTGTGGAAGGCTGCAAGGGCAATATACAAGAAACAATTCACTAATGCAATGACTGAAATGAGATCAATGTCAGGAGATGCATATGATTGGCTGAAAAATAATGACCCTACAAAGTGGTCAAAGTCCCATTTCTCAACAAGGTACAAGTCTAACATGCTCCTTGACAACTTGTGTTAGAGCTTTAACAAGGTAAAATTATTATTGATGCATGTATGTGTTTTAACAAATGTAACATGATTCTAATTAATGCATTTTTTTGTTAAGATGATTTTGGAAGCAAGGGACAAGTTAATTCTAATCATGATGGAGATGATTAGATCAAAGATCATGCAAATAATTGCTAGTAAGAAGATATCTGCTAGGAAGATTATTAGTCAACTTTGTCCCAAAATTCAAAGGAAAGTTGACACTATTATAATGCAATCCATAAGGTAAATGTATTGGTTGTTTACTATTTTTAAAATGTATTGATTGTTTATTGTTTTATAAATTTTTTTCTTATATTGTCAGGTGCTTGCCTAAGCATACAAGTAAACATAAGTGGGAGGTCTCTGCTGGACATGAAGATCAACATATTGTAGACTTACAATCATATTCTTGGAGTTGTAGAAAGTGGGATCTTATAGGTACAATACATTTACTTGTATACATTAATTGTATTTATTGTGTAATTTAATATTTCACATTCATGCAGGTATTTCATGTATACATGTTGCATGTGTTATGTTAAGGAATCAAGACATACCCGAGTCTTATGTTAGCAATTATTACTTGAAAGAAACCTAATTGATGATATATGCAAACACGGTTTAACCAGTTAGAGGTTCAAAGTAATGTGATCAATGCAATACAAATGAACTCATCTTACCATCAATCATGAGAAGGCCTCTTGGCATACCTTAAAAGAACAAAAGAAAAGAGAATGGTGAACCATTACAAGCAATTAGAAGAATAATTTGAAAGGGGTTATAATGACATGTACTAAATGTGGTCATATATGACATAATAAGAGGTCTTGTGGGGGATAAATTGGTGGCAACACACCTATTCCACCACCAATTAAATAAGAAAAAAATCCAAAAGGTTTAATCCATCACCAACAAAAGAACCAAAACAAATAATCCTCAAGCAACATTGTCAGGTGGATGATGCCCTCTCAAAGCTATGTCACCCAACTTCAACCCCAAACATAAGTTGACAAACTTAAATTACCTGTAAGTTTTAAAAAAAACTATTTATTTCGTATGTATGAAGGATTATATATAATAGCAATAATATGTAAGGATTTTTTTAAATTTGTAGATTAGGAGACCAATTAGGAACAATCCAGAAGCTCCCACCCAACAACATCAAGGGAGCAAACATACACAAAGTTTAGTGAACACAAAGAAGTTCATGTGGAAATGAAGATGAACTTCAAATATTTTGTCATCAACTTTGTGCATTTTGCGACAACCATTAAGCGAATTGACAATTGTGTCTTTGGTGATGTATTTTGTCTCTAAAACTCATGTTATGGTTGGTCATTTTTTGTCAAACATTAATTCACAAAGTTAAGTGAAAATAGCAGAAGCTGCAGTTTAAATGTCTTTAATAGATTCTTACTTTTAATGTATAAACATGTGAAAATTATTCAGTGTAAGTAAAATCATTTTGTTCAATTACTTTCTAATGCCCTTAGTATGCATACATATGTTTATGATTTGTATCACAATAGTATAAACATTTGTAAATCCAATGTATGATTTATACCAAAACAATTTCAAAC